AGTTCTTTTATTATTATCGTATAATATGTTATATTGCTTGATTAGAATCTGATCAAAGGAAAGCAATGTAAATTATGCTTTCATAACAGCAATTCACAAAATAGTACTGATTACGTATCTATAGTTGTTCAAATTAGTGTGCTCCTTACACAATAAAAACTGCTCTAAAAGAGAGGCGAAGGATACCAATGGGACATTCAAACTCATAAGTCGAAAATAAACTGAAAACGCGAGGGTAAAAAAGAAAAAGACAAACAGACAAACAACAGTACACAAAATAAAACATAGAAAAAAGAAAAATAACAAAAAATACCGCACTTCAATGAAAATTCAAAACGGAATGTCCTCTATCAAATGGCAAAATCAAAAGCTCAAACTCCTCAAACGAATGGAAAACAACTGTCATATTCCTGACTTGGTACAGGCATTTCCTTATGTAGAAAATGGTGGATTAAACCTGGTTTTATAGCTAGCTACACCTATCACTTGTATAACAGTAGCATAAAATTCCATTTTATTGACAACAATGTGTGAACAAAACAAACAGACATAATAGGTATAAAACAAAGACAAAGTTATTTGGAAGAATGACTGAAATCAACACTACAAGTTTTAAGGTCACCATCACGAATCAGTTGACTGATAAGATGTGTCAGTGTATCAACTCATTAACGACGTGTTAACCCGGCGGTCTTCATTTTTTTTTAGATACCAGTAAGTCTTTAATTTTACGGATTGTGTCCGATTTTCGATTGTGACATTTTGATTATGAATTCACATGGTGATGCGTGCATAGCAGGAAACGCTTACCCTGTGACGTCTGAATGCATCCGATTTCGCGCCTTTTGGAGATTATGCGATTCCCTCAGTTTTTGTATGTTGCCTTCGTTTGTTTCTTCCTAATGTATTTACGCGATTTGAATATTAATAAACTACTGTCGACTTGTTTTAAATTATAAAATTATACCACCATCATTCCTAGTGCTAATGTTTTTATTTCACAATTAACAGCTTCAAATGTTTTCAAAGTTAACGCATTGATACATAAAATGGAGTTCGTGTTGCTTAGTAGTCAGTTTTTCATGTTTTGTATACTGGTGTTTGTCTTTAGAAATCAATTGAAAAGAACTTGGCTTGTAAGATCGTCGAGAAGCACAAAAAGACCTTACAAAAAGACAATATAAACAAAGTATCGATCTAAAAGTACTCGCAGTTGCTAGAAGCTAGTTCAAAATAAATTTTTGACTAGAAATAAACCATGTTTTTACAGACTAAACTAGACCATTTCCGATTCGTGACCCAAAAAACTAAGTGGGATACGACTTATGTATTGCGTGTATCAAGGAAGCTCGATTCAATTTTAAGGCCTTCAAAACAAAAATATTCTAATATCAGTTGAGTTGATATTAAAGACACTGCAAATGCAGTTAATTTACTTACATTTAGTTCAGGTGAGTAATAACAATAATAGCAAAGTCCAACTCAACCAACTCGTGACGCAAAATTTTCGAAGGGATGACTAAACTTAAACAATTGGAACCTTTGGTTTTATAGCTCCTTTGTTTTAAAGCAGCAATCCTCTATTAAGGAAATCATGATGGGAAATCCAGGCTCCGGAATATCGTATTGATACACTCATCAAAGGTACGAGGATGGTATCAACTGGGACATATATGCTCCATCTGCAGGCGCTACTGGAATATTGCTGCATAGAAATGGAAAGTTAACAATTGGGAAGCTGAAATCATCTCTTTTGTCGTAAAGTTTTGTTCTCAACCGACCCTCATTGTCAATTTCTAGATGCAAGTCAAAATATTAGACAGACTTAAATGTATCTGTTGTAGCTTTATTTCAAGTTCGATGGGATAGATGCATTCAATTTTGAGTTATTAAGTGATGGGACATCATATATTTATAGCGGAAATTGAAGTTAAATGATAATGATACCTTCTTGTTAAGTTTGCCTGTATGAATTAAAAATCACCAAAAAGAGGAGCACAGTTGGTTCCAATGAGAATGCCGATTGTTTGTTGAAAATCCCGTTCTCCAAATGTAACAAAATATTTTGTCAATCAAGAAACAAAACACCTTTATATTGTAAGTATCAGAGTGATATTTTACCATGTATGTTTTGTGTCTCCCTAAAATAAGATATTTGTATTTACGTTGGATATTCTTTTTTTAGGAAAAAAAGGGAGACCAATTATTTTATTTTGTCTTTAAGTTTGGAATGGGGAATGTTTGTGTAAATGTTTTTTTATACTATAACAACAGGAAATACACTTAGATCTATGTACTCTAACATATCTTTGTAATCACATCTGTTTGACGGCATCCCTACCATAGGTAATTGCACAAGAACTATGAAAAAAGTATACCAAAAATACCGAACTCCAAAGCAAATTCAAAAAGGGTCTAAGTCCATAAAAACTGACAAAACCAAAAGCTATCAATCAACGGAACAAGCGAAAAACAAAGAAAGAGGTTTTGGGTAGCGCTTGGAAGACCAAGCAATATGTTGTTGCTTGTGACTGATCAGTTAAACCGTATATATTTCCCTCGAGTTTATATTTGTAAAACTGGGTTGATTCAAAGGGAGACAACACTGATAATATTAGGTATCGGAAAACACTCAAATTGGTTGTTAGTAATTATTGATAACACGGAATACACAAGGATCTTCGTGGGCGTAAATGGTTTACATGTTGAAATGTACTATTATATTATTTATTTATGTATTTCCCTGTCCTGAATGTTCTTGCATTTATTTGTACTGTATTCCTGTCACGTAATGTTGTAATTTTATCAGTATTTTTAACATTGCCATATAAGCAGAAGGTTTGGCTAGCCATAAAACCAGGTTCAACCCACTATTTTTTCTTGAAATGTCCTGTGCCAGTTCAGGAGTGTGGCGGTTGTTGTCACATAGTCCGTTTCTATGTATTTTGCATTTGTTTTTGTGGCAGTTTAGTGATCTGTTGTTCCATTTTGTTTCTTCTTGTGGTTGATGTGTTTCCCTCGGTTTTGGTTTGTGCCCCGGATTTGTTTCAATTAAATCAATTTGTGACATTTGAACAGCGGTATACTAATATATCCTTTATTTACAAACAACTGAATAAGTTTTTTTTTTAAATACGGACTTAGTTTGTCACACGGATCCTAGAAAATTTCATAGTTGGGAGAATTTAATTTTCAAAAGTGCATACAAAATGCATTTGTGAAAAAAACACAACAGAGCCTGTGTCGTCATTAAAAAGCAAGAACTCCAACAAGGAGTCGACTGACAATTTCGGCCATGTTGACATATTTAGGGAGCTGCCATTTGATTTTTATGGGGGGGGGGGGGCTAGGATGAAAAATTTTGTCTTGCATTTTTTTTTAGTTGTAATCTCTGTCCTGCCTTTTATTTTTTACTCTATTCGGTCCTGCCTTCTTTTTTTTTTTTAGTTTATCCTGACTTTTTTTGACATAAATTGTCATCCTGCCTTTTTTTTTTGGCAAAGTGTCTCATCCTGCCTTTTTTTTTTACTCAAAACTCCTGTCCTGCCTATTTTTTTCAAATTTCATCCTAGCCCCCCCCCCATAAAAATCAAATGGTAGCTCCCTTATAGATCATGTCTTGCTGATAATTTTTGCTATTCAAAGTGTCTATAGATCTATTATAGTTTTCAAACTAATAGGGAAAAAGCACTAAAAATGGGTAAAAATTGTCATCTATTATAGTTTTGAAGATATTAGGCAAAAACACAAAAAACTGGTAAAACAACTCCAATAAGGAGTCATTTGACGATTTCACATTTGTGGATGTTGTCTTGCTGATCATTTTTGCTTTTTAAAGTTTATCTCCATCTATTATAGTTATGCCTACCGTGCAATGGCTTTATAGCCAGTCAGGTTCGTTACAAAAAACCCATAGAAGTAGTATAATAATGATTATAGATATACTAAACATCCACTAAATATCTGCAAAGAGGATAGATTAAAATTCTAGAAACTAAACATTTTTAAGAATTTGTAAGTCCAATGTCTGCAATGATATTAAAAGTACAGAAGTTGACACAAAACTCAAATGCAATATTTAACTACTCATTCAACAACTATGTACAAGTCTAAAATCTACATAGAATTTTGTTAATGATTGAGAAACTCATATTCGTCAAAGTTTCAGAGACCAAAGATCATTTATCAATACTAGTATTTTGTGTAAATAATAGAACATCAAATAAACTAGCAGGTAATCTGGAACTTCTTATTAAAATATACTCATCAGCAATAATACAACATCATCTTATGTTTATACACTTACTGAAAATCATCTATGTATAGCAATGGCAACATGATAGTCTGAGATTTGAACAAAATCACAAACCTTTAAAGAAGATATTCTAAATGTTGATTCAGGGGAACTTTGGTTTAAACCTTTCCAATAGTTACAGACTGAAAGTTGTTCTAAAATGCAGGACAAGCAACGGACAACAATGTCATACAATATGCTTACATAATGCTTGAAACAGATGAGCTAACATTATATAAATAACACATAGCTGAGAGGGTGATAGAGCAGATTGTTACCCCGAGAAAACATTGTCAACTGAGGCGAAGCCAAGGCTGACAATGTCTTTTCGAGGGGTAACAATCTGCTCTATTTCCCTCTCAGATATGTGTTATTTAATTTATTATACTGAATGTTCTGTTATTACTGTCGATTAAATTTCAAATTCAAAGTAATAAACTATGACGTCTTGTACATAACAACCATCCGTATTTAATAAAGCGCACACTTAATCAAGCGTCTCTGTGAAGGGTAATAGAGTATTTGCCATAGGATAGAGTCATATTTAATAAAGCGCACACTTGATCAAGCGTCTCCCTGAAGGGTAATAGAGTATTTACCATAGAATAGAGGAAATTAACATCCTGGTATAAGCCAATCAAAATATTGCATTTTTACATGGAGTATAATAAAAAGTCATGGTGGTAGTGAAGATACAAAGAAGAGAACATTCATACACTTTTCATTTTCATGATATTGCGCGACAAAGAGAGCATTTATGGATTTGTAATGCTTGGAAATAGTCTGATGATAAAGTTACAAAATGTAAGAAAAAATCAAAATACAAAGCTGCATCCATCAATATTTGTTCGGTTATGTGATCTCAAAATACTTTTGAATTGCCTTATATACATAGTATAGATGACAATTCCGTGTGTTTGTTTGTTATATGGATTAATATAAATCTCCAAGGTATAATAAAGCAAGGTACATGTCAGCTAGGTACTTTTGTCACTACATTTAACCCATGCATATCTTTTATTTCTTCTTTCAGTGCCTGTAAAACAAAAAGTTTGTATTACTAATATTATTTCTTCTTTAATTGCCAGTTAAACAAATAATTCTATGACTACAATTATTTTAGTCAAAGTATGAATGTACTTGTATAAACACTGGTTTTAGTAACAGTACCTTTATTGGATGACACTACCTGGTTCTTTCTGTTTTGATTGCAATATCTTGTTTCATGACACAGATGAAATCCATTACCCGAGGTGTGATATTGGTAATTTAAATCTTTCAGTTACTAATTATCAATGATATTCATACACACATGTAGGCATGCGTTGGATTACATTAAAACAGGACCATTTTTCAAGCATTTTACATTATCAAGAGTCTAAAGAACTATGAAAGTATTAACAATGCAAGAATTTTTGTACATGACAGATACAATAGAAATATGCAATTTTAATATCAATTTCATAGAGAAGAATACATCAATATTAAAACATAAAAGTGTTTACAATGTCAGATATTTTTTTTTCTCCATATAATTGTAATATGTAACAAAAATACTGAATTCCAATGCAAATTCAATAAAAAGCTCCGCAATATTTAAAAAAAATATCTCACAATATCTATCAAAGGACCTTTTCAATAGAAGTAACAATGAGAAGTTGTGTTTCACAGATTCTAGGTGATAAAAATCATTGCTAATTACATAATCTATGAAGGCTAAACTGGATAGAATCTTGAGATTGACTTGTCATTCTACTGATAATTTTTAATTGATCTTTTTTTCAAAAGAAAATCAAAAACTCTTTTGAGATGTTGTTACAATTGACTATTTATTATATGATATTAAAAAAGGTATTTCAAACACATGTGTGTAGTAACTAGCAATGATTTGCTAGTCATATATATTTCAAGACTTTCAAAACCTAAGAGAATCAGCATTTCAATTAGACATTTGCCTGCTAGCTAGCATAAATTATCAGTCCTGTATTTCAGTTATTTCATATATTCAATTATAAAATCATCCCTAAACTATCTTCAATATCAATAAAATAATATCATCTTTAACATTTTATTGATTTTGTTTTTGTAAAAGTGTTCCGTAACATGGTAAATCAAAGAGCTTGGTGTAGCTCATGAAGGTAGCAGGTGGGCATTGTCTCCCTTGATATTACTGTATTATATTTCTAAAATCAATTAAAGAGCATGTGTGTTTTCCATTACAGAAAAAAATAATAATAATTGTTAATTTCAGAGAAAACAAAAACATTATAAAACATTTTTAAAATTGATAGCATTTGGTTCTGAACTTCAGAGTTTATATATGAACATTGAACTACTAACATATAACACCTGTGTATGTCTTTATTCTACATTAAATTAATTTCTTGTAAATTAAAATTGCAATCATGTGAACAGCATTGCTAGATTAATTATGAAAACAAATTACCTTATTGCCAACATAAAAAAAATTATAATGCCACTTCAAGAAGCACTTAGTGTGAAAGACTTTTAAACAACACAGAAAAAATATATTTAAAGTTCAAAATCCTGACCTTCATCAAGGTCAAACCACTCAACAGAACCTTCCCTCTCCATATTAGTCCAGCAGCTAAGTCCTATAAATTGGCAGAATTGATCACTTTATGGTAAAAGCATGAAACTTTGCACAGTGTTAATTATGATGCTCAAGAACATTTTTGGATATGAAGCCTCAAAAAATAAAAAAAAAAAATGGCCGCAAAATTATGAGCTCTCTAAAATATTATCAGGTTTTCAGCTGTGTTGTTCATAATTATTCTAACAATTGAAATATATACCCAGTAACCCATGAAAAATCAACATAAACTGTTGACACAGAGATATGTCTCGCCTGTCTGCATAACATTCAGAATAAAAGAACAGAGTTCCAATGTCCCCTGCGTTGCACATATTTTATATTGCCAAGGGGCATAACTCTTTTAAAAAAGTCAATCGTCCACCATTATAGAACTTGTACGAGATATTGCTGATATTAACCTATAGTATAAGTTTTATAAAAATCTGGCAAAAATTGTACCTGTGAGAGCGCTAACGAGGCCATTTTCCATAAATTTAATATTTCCAAGGGCATAACTCTTTTAAAAAAAGTCGATCATCCACCATTTTAGAATTTGTCCGAGATATTGCTGATATTAACCTATAGTATAAGTATTATAAAATTTTGACAAGAATTGTACCCGTGAGAGCGCTAACAAGGCTATTTTCCATAAATTTAATATTTCCAAGGGGCATAACTCTTTTAAAAAATTTGAACGTCCATCATTATAGAACTTGTCCGAGATATTGCTGATATTAACCTCTAGTATAAGTTTTATAAAATTCTGGCAAGAATTGTACCCGTGAGAGCGCTAACAAGGTCATTTTCCATAAATTCAATATTTCCAAGGGGCATAACTCCATTAAAAAATGTCGATCGTCCACCATTTTAGAACTTGTCCTAGATATTGCTGATATCATAGTATAAGTTTTATAAAAGTCTGGCAAGAATTGTACCCGTGAGAGCGCTAACAAGACAGGACGGACACACGGACGCCCGCTATTTACATATCCCCCCAACGCTTTACGCAGGGGACAAAAAGACAATCTGGTAGACAGCAACATTGCTAATTAATTCAAAGTTACTGGACCAGCTAGTGCAAATGGCCTTGAAATGGTTGACAAACTGAGATGTACAGACAGCAATGTAACTTTATAGAAAATATTGTAGTCTATTGAAAGTAGTTCCTATCAAACTAACCTAAGCAGAAAACCTTGAAACAGTAAACATTGAAAATTTTAATTAATTAAAAGTCACTGGACCATGACCAAGGGAGCAGGGCCTTGAAATAGTTGTCAAACTAATATGTACTGATAGTAATGCAACTTTATTGAAAATATCCTTGATCTATCACAAGTGGTTCCTATCAAATTGATTTAAGCAGAAAACTTAACATTGAAAAATGCTAATTAATTCAAAGTCTCTGGACCATGACCTAGGGGGAAGTGCCTCAAAATACTCTTTAAACTGTGAGAAATGATAGTAATGCAACTTTTTACAAAACATCATTGATATATCATAAGTAGTTCCTATCAAATTAACTTATGCAGAACACTCAACATTGAAAATTACTACTTAATTGAAAGTCACTGAACCATTACCTAGGTGGCAGGGCCTCAAAATAGTCATCAAACTGATATGTACTGATAGCAATGCAACTTCATACAAAATATCATTGATCTTTCACAAGTAGTTCCTATGAATCTACAATTGCTTGTTAATTCTAAGTAACTGGACCATGGCCTAGGGGGCAGGAACTCAAAATGGTCGTCAAACTGATATGTACTGATAGCAATGCAACTTCATACAAAATCTCATTGATCTATCACAAGTAGTTCCTATCAATCTAACTTAAGCAGAAAACTTAACATTGAAAATTGCTAATTAATTTTAAGTCACTGGACCATGGCCTAGGGGGCGGGGCCTCAAAATATTCGTCAAAGTGATATGTACTGATAGCAATGCAACTTCATACAAAATATCATTGATCTATCACAAGTATTTCCTATAAAATTAACTTGAGCAGAAAACTTAACAATTGTTGACGCCGTCACTGTCACTGTCGCCAGAAAAGCAATCCCTATGTCTCGCTTTCCACGACTTTCGTCGCCGGCGACACAAAAAATGCTAAAAAGTGATGATGCCAAAATTAGTACTTGATCTGAGTTCTGTGGTATTAAGCATTGTGTAAAAGTTTCATAACCTTTGGTTGAGGCAAACTTAAGTTAGAGAACAGAAACGAAAAAATTCAGCAATTTTTCCATTTGTAAAGGGGGATTACTCTAGAACAGTAAAAAGGACGCCACCAAAATTCAAACTTGATCTGTGTTTTGCAGTAATAAGCTTTGTGTGTAAGTTTCATAACATTTGGTTGAGTCAAACAAAAGTTAGAGAACAGAAACCAATTTCGGGACATACGGACATACGGTTGTATGGATGTACGGACCTACAGATGACAAGGATAAAACTTAATGCTCCATCCGCTACGGTGAGGGCATAAAAAATCTGTATAATTGTCCTGATGTATCCAGAGTAGTGGCAAAGTATGTCGACACATCAAAATAAACCTGGATTTTGTTGTCTTTGTATAGTTAACATAACATATATTGTTATATATTTGTTCTTATCCTCCATATGCATGAAATATCTGTCGTAAGAATGTATAGCAATCAATCAGTTAGAACATTCAACTATGGATAGCTTATTATTTTTCTCTTGAATGAAAATTATATACAGTGAAACAATTGAATTAGGAATTTTATATCTATCAAAGTAATATTCAATTTAGTCTAATGTGTTGCTATGGAATAACCCTTTTTTTTATCTTTTATAATTCTATTTACATGATTTAATAACAAAAAGATCTTGATTTAATTCACTGGATGTTAAAAAAAAAACAAGTAACAATCATCAATAGATTTAATTTACTTGATTTAATCATCAACATCAATCAAATTTTCTCACATTTTCAAATTGACGATTTGTCTATTGTTGAATGAAAAAGAAATAGACAATTTTTTCCAATATTACCATTATTACTATGTTATTTGAAGACAATAATTGTTCTCATTTATAAGTGGATAAAACTCAATTTCATTGTCAAATATTGATGGTTTTACACTTCATGTCCCTACATCATACATATAAATAACGATTGACCTGAATTACAGACTTAGGGGAACGAGAGTTTGTACGTGTTTAAGCCCCAAAAATAATGTGATGATCAATACAAACTTGAGCTATAAAAGTTCACTGTCACAGATATTATATACCCATACAATTGCATTACCTCTTTCACCATTCTGTGCTGATTCAATGTTCTCTGTCCAGAGAATTCTACTGATTCTACATAAACTTTGTACATGGACCCACATCCTCCTAAAAAAGAGAAACAAGAGTGCACACGCTGAAATGTCTCACCTTCTTTACTAACCATTGATATTATGTTGATAGTCCTAAATATAAAGCTTTACTACAACTATCACATAAACTTAACATGATCCAAGAAAATGAGGTCAAGGTCATATAAACCAAACGACAAAAAGTTGAAGGCTCCACAAAAGCAATTTCATATTTAATTGGTAATATAGAGTTTATCACATTTATTTATAACTAGTTTCTATTACTTTTTTCTCTTTATCTTTTGTTATTTCTTTTCACCATAATGGCTGTCACTAAAGACTGTTTAAAGTAATTACTTTTTTCAATCTAAAGTATAATATTTATACATTTATTAAAACCATCATTTGGGTCATTAAAAGGGGTTATCTTCAAAAAATAATATGTCAGTCAGTGCTTAAACAAGTCCACTTTATATACTTGAAGATGTAAATAAAATTTACTTGTATAAGTAAGTTAGTCAGATCTAAATTTTCTTTCAAAGTTTGAATAATGCCCCCAAATTCTTCTCTAAAAATTTACTTATATAAACAATTTTTTTTTACAAAACCTCTGAATTTCTCAAGGCTAGGTAGGGCAAAACATGCCTCCAAAAAATTGTCTGGTTTGCTTACAACGTTTTAATTAGAGTTCAACCTTTTATCCCAAGAACTAAACAAAGAAATCTTCTGTGAACAGACGTTAAGTAACTGTACAAGGTCTTCAATATTTGCTCTCTGGAGACTTATAAATCAGCAGTATTATGAAAATAATAGACAAATGAGATTTTTATATGAAAATATAAGCATGGGAAAGAATTTGCATTGAAAAAGTGAAGGCCAGAAAAAAAGAATATAACTCCTCTGGAGATGTGAGAGATGATAATAAATGTTACCTGATATATCTAAAGCTTGTATGTCAGAAGCTTTGGGAAATTTTTCCTTGAGTACATTAACAATCTTCAGTTCTCCTTCGGTCAAAGTGCTTGCGTCTGTACATCTTTGTCTAAGTGTAGATCTACATAGAGCTGTCAACTATAGTATAATAGATATTGTTAAAGGGTGAAAATTATCTCTATGAAGAACATTTTTTCAGTGACAATTATTAGAAGACCTCTTTATGATTTGTTTGCTGTTCTCCTTTGGTCAAAGTGCTTGCATCTACATGTATATTTGTATGTGTTTAAGTGTAAATAATAGAAATTTAAACTTAATCTTAACATTAATGTCATATTTTGCTATTTTTTGGCAAGAAGAGATGGATGTAAGTCAAATGAACCAAACATATCGTCATTCTGTCCATAAATTCCTAAGACTTCCTTTTGAATCATCCTTTATGTATGTCTATGCTTATTCTGTAAATAAGAGGGGTTCAAAAGGAAGTCTTTCCAGCCCTTCTTTCTTTCGCTACATCTGAACTGACCACGAGTTTTAGTCACTTGAAATCAACAAGTTACACTGTATTGAAGAGGAGCATAAGATTTGATTTTAAATCAATAAACCTATTTTTTAATTCATTTGGAAGGTATTTGTGTTTTAGGCCGGATTTGTTACATTATAATCCAAGTTTGTTATGGGCCAAGTTATCAGGAAGTCATATATAGCTTGCTGTTTGGTGTGAGCCAAGGCTGACTGTTTACTTTAATGGTTTACTTTTACAAATTGTGACTTGGATGGAGAGTTGTCTTATTGACACTCATACCACATCTTCTTATATCTATATAGGTGACTTTCGAATTCGTGCACTTTCCTGTAAATATTCTGTCACAATGCTTATGTCATGAGTGTTATAACGTCACAGTAAGAACCGATTGCCCAATGCCATTGTTACACTGATTGACTCTGGGTCAACCTGTGTAGCTCATTCATAAAAAACAACTGGAGATTGGTGTATTCAGTGCTAATATACACCAATCCTGAGTTCTTTTTAATAAATGAGTTACACCGGTTGAGCTGAGGTCAATTGACTTTAACAACGTCATCTAACAATCGGTTCTTACTGCGGCGTAATAACATAAGCATTGTGACAATTCCAATTAATTAAAATAACTCAAGTTATGGTAAAAGATCTTGTAGATTTGAGGCAGCACAAGTATGGAATTCCCTTCCCAATGAGGCCAGAACTATGACCTCTTTTGACCAATTTAGGAATTATATAAATTCCTAGAGTGGGTGGTCAAAAGTGCAAATGGAGTTTGTGCCATTTCCATCCAGTGCTGCCTCATAGCTGAAATTTCTTTCTTTTTTATTTTCTGACTTTTTGCTCTACTTTTTTATGCATTATTCAGATATCTCGATGCTACTAAATGCCAATGCTTAATTTACTTATTCATTTGTGCTTTTTAGCTTGTTAGAATTTTATGATATTTCAGTGATTGCTGGTTCCCCCATTTCAATGCACGTAGAGGGGTATCGGGTCCGTTTGCACCCAATACACGATCGCACCCTACACGTTCTCACCCAATGCGTATATGTTTATATAAAAATATTTTGATGAAATGTGCAAATTTTGAGGGTATTATGTAATTTATGTGTAAGACTTTTGATGTAAATATAGAAAATTGTGTGTTTTATCATAATTACGGCTGTAATTTCTCAAAAACACCTTATTTGTGTTTGATTAATTTTTTGTCAACTTTGCCAAATAAGGGGAGATAACTCAGATAAAGTAGTTTTTATAATAGAAAGTGTTATGAATTTACCTATTTAAGGTAGCAATACACAGTTAGAAGTTTAGTTCCGCATTATGGCCATGGTGAATTTTTTAAATATGAAAGTTTTTGTACAATAAAATTGATTTTTAGATAATTGAAGAATAATATAGCCTTCTTAGTGGGTTTATATGAACATTTAGATTGTTTTTAGCATGTTTTATAGGCCATTTTTCTGTTTGACAGTCCGTATTTTCCTATCCGTACCGCCCATAGGTCCATAAATTATTGTAGTGTTTATCAACAAAGATTTTGCGCTCGATCTTTTCAATTCAATTTTATGGAAAAACGAGCAGAAATGCATATGATTTTTTTTGGACCTCTTGATAGATATATGTCTATGGATTCAGGAAAGGTATCACTGTAATTGATTGAAATTTTCCTTTGGACCAAATTTTGGAGACTTTTGTGACATGTTCACCCCCCTTTTATGCAATATTTTGTATCAAAGAAATGCAGATTGTTGCCATGGTTACACCCAAAAGAGATTATATTTCACCATTATAACCATTAGAAATCAAATCTATGGAAGATTCTCTTTCTATAAATATACACATGCATAACACAAATATTAAGCCTTATTTGTTAGAAAGGAAGGGAAAGAGGGTGTTTAAAAATTATGAGTGTCAATTTTAAGTTTTTTTCCTAACTGTGTATTGCTACCTTAATCTGTAGCAAGAAAACAAGTTCGGTGACCCCATTTTTTCTTTTTCTTATCTGAAAGCATGTTATAAGAGCTATCTTCTCACATTATATCTTAAATTTATATCATGTAGTTTTCTTTTTAGCACACAAAATTTGATTTTCCATGCATAATCTATACAAAATCTGACAATTTTGCACAATCTGTAGCTTGAAAAAAAGTCCGGTGACCCACATATTTTATTATATTTTTGAAAAAAGCATGATAAAAACTTCATTTTGACAAATTATTAAAATAAAAAATTCTATCAATTTAAATTAAGACGCCCAAGCCACCTTAAAATTAAAAAAATTTTCAACACAAAAAAACTTTTTAGAAAGTCACTTTATTTTGAAACAATGAAAAAAAAAGTTTATAACAATACACTAACCAAAACAAGATTAAAAAAATATTCAACACAAAAAATGTCACTTTATTTTGAAACAATGATGAAAAAACCTTATTAATAGCAATACAATACATGCAATAACCAAAATAAGACTAAAAATTATTCAACACAAAAATCGTTTTTAGAAAAATATTCAACACTTAGAAAGTCACTTCATTTTGAAACAATGAACAAAAAAAATATTTATAGCAATACACTAACCAAAAAACGATTGAAAATTTATTTAACAAAAAAACTAATAAAATGGGTGCAAACGTGTAGGGTGCGAAAATGTTTTTGGGCGAAGGGACCCAGATTCACATAGAGGTGTTTGCTGCATGAGCATTGACCCTGGAGGTTCAGAAATCCAAATTAATTTGCTTTCATTACGTATATTTGCATGCTTTTTTTATTTTTATTTATTGGTGTTTACATGAAGCTGCATGGTTTTTGTATGATAGTCGCTGAAAGAGCTCACCAGAGCTCATGTTTTTTCTGTTGTTGTGTAAATATATGCCCACTTAAAATAACATTTACTTACTTACTTACTTAAATTTACGGGAAAGTGCATGAATTTGAAAGTCGTCTATTCAACTAAAAGTTGCAAATCTATTCTATCAGATGAGCATTAAGCCTATCAATGAGGGTCGTAATGGGAGTACCCTCATGACGAATAACGGTAAAAATTCTTGCCAAATGACGTTAACGGTAGTTTTTGGTCCATGACGATAAAATGTACACTTTCTTTTAAACGATAAAAAAATCGACTGATTTGTGAATCACATTAATTTAATAATGCTACCGATAATTATTTGAGACCTCTGACGAATCACGGTATCATTTTAACCAATTTGACGCTAACGGTAGCCGAAAATGACCGTTTGACGCCTGACGGTAAAGGGCATTCCTCATCAATCTCCCCATTCCAATATCAAAACAAGGAACAACCAACATTTAACCTTTTTTTTTAACTGGAAACCCATGCCATGCTCATGATGCTGAGAAGTTTCCTTGATCAAACCATGCATAGTTATGAAACGTTCGAACCCACATTGTAACTGCTTTAAAAAGCACTCGGGTGTTAGAAAGGTTATTGCTTTTCCACAGAGAGATTTCTACAACGGTTTATTTATCTTTTAAGGGTTTCTACCTGTGTAAGACGAAAATATCGAAACATTTCAGATTCACCTCTAAACAATTGTTCCGAAAAGAGGACGTACTGGTACTTAATATTCAACCCTGTTTCCCTTTGCTCATATTGCACTTTCTGGAAAAACAGCTATTTCGGAAATTCTTTGGGGAAAATGGCAGCGCCCTGTCGAAGTGCAAGATTTTGTTTAAATTTCAAACTCGACTCGGTATTGTGGAAAAACTTATGCAAAGTATGAAAGTTTTTTTTTTTTTTCAACAATTTTGTATTTTAAATAATTTGCCGTTGGAATAAATCATTTAGAGCATTTGAATGTCCTTTCGTTGTCCCAGATTTTGACCCTTTTCGTCTGCTAATTAACCAGTCTGACAAAAACACATTTTTACTCTAACTGGAGCCATGTATATACACAGGTTAGGCATTTATAACTTATATGTAAATTTGCTATTTTTGTAATTAAATGATAAATGTTTTAAATGTAAAACTAAAAGCCTAACCAAAAAAAATTCTAATTTTTTCCAGTGCTACCAGAGACATTTGTAATATGTCTCTGATGCTACCAAGGATTTGTATAGTAAGACTATATAACAAAGTTTTTATTTAAAATTAAGATATATAGTTAAAACACAGTCGCTTGAATTTAAGGGATAAACAGTGGCGGATCCAGAAATTTTCATAAGGGGGGCCCACTGACTGCTTAAGAGGGGGCCCGCTCCAGTCATGCTTAAGTGATTCCCTATATAATCAACCAAATTTTTCCCTCAAAAGGGGGGGGGGGGCCTGGGCCCTCTGGAAAACCCTCTAAATCCGCCCCTCTGATAAAAAATATTAACAAAAACATAAAAACAAGCATTCTGTGAGTCATGATTGCCTGGCGATACATATATATATAGTCTACCGGTTAAAAATTCATTGTACTGGAACAAAATGCTAACTTGATCTATAATTTTTCATGGTGTAAACTATATAACAAATATCAAGTCAATATCTTCAAGCATGATGAAAAAAAAATGTGGAAAATTGAATAATTAAAATTGAGAATGAAAATGGGGAATATGTCAAAGAGACAACAACCCAGCCAAAGAGCAGATAACAGCCGAAGGCCACCAATGGGTCTTCAATGCAGTGAAAAAATCCCTCACCCGGAGGTCACGTCCTCAGCTGGCCCCTAAATAAAAATGTGTACTAGTTCAGTGAAAATGGACGTCATACTAAACTCCAAAACAATGTTATAAATGAACTAAAATTAAAAAAAACATACAAGACTAACAAAGGCCAGAGGCTCCTGACTTGGGACAGGCCCAAAAATGTGGCAGGGTTAAACATGTTTTGTGAGTTCTCAACCCTCCCCCTATACCTCTAGCCAATGTAGAATAAAGAAACACACAGCAATACACACAATAAAAAAAAATTGTTTGACATTTCTTACCGATATAACATGTTACTTTTATTATTCTACCCTTTGTTTATTTATTTTGTATTTACATTGTGTCATAGGTCAAATTTATTTGTTCAGTGTATGTTCAATGGTGTTAATATGTCCTTTGATTGAGTTAAGCTATTTCAGTTGATATTTTATAGTGTGTCTTTCTATGTTGTGATGTTACACTATTGTTTCAGAAAAAGGGTGAAGGTTTGGTACCATTAAAACGTTTAAACCCGCTGCATTTGTTTGCACCTGTCCTAAGTCAGGAATCTGATGTTCAGTAGTTGTCGTTTGTTGATGTGGTTCATAAGTGTTTCTCGTTTCTCCTTTTTTATATAGATTAGGCCGTTGGTTTTCCCGTTTGAATGGTTTTACACTAGTAATTTTTTGGGGCCCTTTATAGCTTACTTTTCGGTGTGAGCCAAGGCTCCGTGTTGAAGACCGTACTGTGACCTATAATGGTTTACTTTTATAAATTTTGACTTGGATGGAGAGTTGTCTCATTGGCACTCATACCACATCTTCTTATATCTACACATTCTAGGTTTCTTTCAGCTTAAGTGACTCAGCACAAGGTTTTTTTTTTAATTTCAAAGGTTGTTTAGGAATTTTTATAAACAATAGACATAATAGTTGTAGTCCAAATAATTATGACGTTCAACATTGCCTAAGGGCTATTTTAATTTTTTGCTGTGACAAAATTAAAAAAGCCTTTCAAGACATCATAATTATTTGGATTAGATAGGCGGTAGTATAACGTAGACATTCAAGTGAGTAATCTAAAGTCATGAAAGTATGTGTTTTTTTCTGTATAAATTTTGGCTTGATTTGCAACAAAATCACCATTTTCCATCAAATGCAATGAAACATTACTTTTATCATGTTTATTTGTGTATCTTTAATTTGCTGTTTTGATATTTTGGTGTTTTGAAAATTTTGTACATCACACGGTTTGTAATTAGAATGATGTTTACATTTACCACTTCAGACAAAGAAATTCTCCACAACACCTGTCAGCCATGTTAAAGACCATTCCAAAATGTTCCCTGCCCAGATGGGAAAGATGTTACCAGATGGAACATTTGATGGAAAGATAGCTTTTATAACTGGTGGAGGAACTGGACTGGGGAAAGGCATGGCTACCATGTTGTCTAGACTAGGTGCTCAAGTGGTTATATCAAGCAGGTAGTATACATATATCATTTAATGGATGGGGAGATAAGGCAACTCTTTGAGGGGTTATTGATGGCATGTTGGCCTGTTGCAGGACTTAATTTCTGTCCCTATCCAATTTACCCTCATTTTCCAGTGGCATTCCTAATTTTCAGCCCTCAATCCTGGTTGACCCCCTATGACAATACTTACCCACTATATTAATTGTTCTCTTCCTAAACATGCATAAAATATTTACTGGACATTAAGCAAACAACAATCAATCATCCATATACTATTGTTTTGATTCTTAAGGAGAGTAGCACTAATTGCTTTTGAGAAAAGGAGTAATGGCTTTATCTTCAACAACTGCTTAAACTGCCTCTGTCATTTTATAACAGAACTAGACAGAGTAGGGGAGATAATCTAAAATTGAATGTAATAAATAAGCGTTTTGATGTCTGTCCAAGGAAAAGAGTGTGGGGAAATATTGATTTGCAAAAATTTGCAAAAAGGGTAGGTACATGGTTATAAAGGTTTGCCCACATATCTCCTCATACTATTTTCATTGTCCCCCTCCCCCATGATAGAAGAGTGGCATTATGTTTTCCAGTCTGTGTCTCCGTCCCATATAAGGTTAAAGTTTTGTTTTAAGGGAGATCAAAATTGTGTTTTAATGTAGTTTGTGGTCTTATCAATTTGAAACTTGTAAAGTGAACTATTTAAAATATATATTCCAAACTAGGGTTTTGACCTGGAATTCACATTGCACTGAACAAGGAAATGTGATACATTGTTGTAGATTAAAATTTGGTTAAGGTTGTTTGTGGTCACTTGACTCGAAACTTAGTACACAAGCTCATTATTAGGTGAACTGTGTAATTATATGCCAAATTAGGATTTGACCCAGATTTTGTGGTTCACTGAACATGGAAATGTGATAGTGCGAGCAGGACATGGTGTCCTATGGACACATAATCTTGTTTTACTTAATAAAGGTACATCTACACAGAAAATATATAGCATAAATAGTAGTCAAATTTGTCAAAGCATACAATTACAGTTTACCACATTGCTATTTTCTTCAGAAAAATGGATGTATTAGAGAAAGCTGCATCTGAAATTACCTCTGAAACAGGAAACAAGGTACAAATATTGTCTGATAATAAGTGATACATATGACATTCTATTTATACAGGCTTTGTGGCTTGTTATTTTTGTGATTTCAATACACAAACTCTACTCACAGAGGTTAAATTCCCACATCAATGATAGGGTTGCCTGCCTTTCTTCAAACTATGTATATGAGGAAATAAGCAAAAATAATCTGGATGAAAATGTCCACAATTACAGAAGTCTGGTCGCTTTAATGCAGAAATGTCATCTGTAATATCACTGTGACATCATATATTTGACATATGTATATTAATAAGGGGAACTTTAGTAATATGTCAATGATATTTGGTATGTAGATGTATTAGCATTGGCACAAAAAATTGGTACCTTCTACAGCTGCTGATATAAGAGGCATTTTAGCCACTGTATCAGCATAAAATTTTAGAAGGTGATTGTCCAGGTTGTATCAAAGCCTCAGAAATAAAAGACACCATAGCCATCAAATCGGCTGTGCACATATTTTACATTTATTGTTCAGGTTAATGCCCTTTAGTCATAAAATCGCCTTTAGAAGATATTTTACCTATAGCTGTAAATATTATAGAACCATTAGCTATCAAATCTTGCTGATTTTATATATGCGTTTGCATTTTCAGGGTTGCAACTATATCTCCAAAATTAGAGACCTTATTGCCATAAGATTTTGGTTCAATGAGTTCGATACATATTTTTTCCAAGGTTTTACCTGGCGGTACTTCTGCTGAACTTAGAGACCTTTTTGCCATAAAATTTTCGTTCAATGGTTTATACATATTTTCCCCAGGTTTTACCTATAGCTGCTGATGTACGAGATCCTTTATCTATTAAATCTGCTGTAGATGAATGTGTATCAGAGTTAGGATTACCACACGTCATTATCAACAATGCAGCAGGAAACTTTATCTCACCATCAGAGAAGTTATCTGCCAATGCCTGGAAAACAGTCGTTGATATAGTCCTGAACGGATCAGCTTTGGTTTCATTAGAGATTGGTAAAAGACTAATAGAGGCTGGTCAAGGTAATTTTACATATAACATGTATAAGTGGAAATCACATATTGTGTGATCTAGTTCTTAATTGTTATCATTACTGTAGAGTGTAGACCCCAGTATCTTCCTTGTCCTAGTAACAACAATATTTATGAATGCAGTTTTTTCCCTTGCCATAACAATAATCATTAAACAGAAATTAGTTTGTTTTGTATCTGTATGTTGAACTTACCCAAAGGATGTGCAATGGTCTTGTCCTACGAAGGTCATATTTGAAAGATCAAAGTCACAGCAGATGCAAGTTCCAGTACTGCAGTAGTTAATGATTACAAGGATCACATCTTTGTTTCCTTGCACTTAATCTGCCTGGGGTATGCTATTAGTTTCAAATACAACAGAGGTTGAAAATAGGAGGGACAGAATGTCTGACAGGCTTAATTTTTTAAAGGCCGTGGTCAAGTCAAAGTAAAAAAGTTTCTAAGACATATGACCCTATTTTTATACATATATGTGTTGGGTCCAGGTTATTCATCACACAATAATTAGCCATGGACAGAAGGTGTAAGATGTCCTCAAGTCTATTTCACAACCAGTAGTGAAAGGTTATTACAATTTGTAAGCTACTAATATCAGATCAGTTTTTAATTGCATAAAACTGAAGCTGAAGGCAGATATATTTATTGTCCACAGTTCTAGTGGACAGTTTCAGTTGGTTGTAATTAGTGTATTTTTATTCACAGGTGCAGCATTCCTTGCTATAACAACAATATATGCCACCAGTGGCTCTGGTTTTGTTACACCAAGTGCTGCTGCAAAGGCTGGAGTAGAATGCTTGACAAAGTAAGAAAAATAAGAAACTACAATTTATTTTTTGTATAAAAAAAAAGATATGTGGTTTGATTGCCTATGAGACAACTCTCCACCAAATGACCAAATGACATACACTACAAACTGCTCAGAGTCTGAAAACACCATATTTTGTGCTCAGAAACCTAATAAATTGTTTACTTTTCATTTCCTACAAGTCTCAGTAACCAGTTTTTTTTTGCAGGTCCCTAGCTGCAGAATGGGGAAGATATGGGATAAGATTTAACTGTATAGCACCAGGACCAATAGAAACAAAGGTAAAACCCAGATAATAAAGTGAAAACATAGGTAACCACTTTCAGGATAAAACTGGAATCTATAAAAAAACAAATATTGGAAATGATTCTCTTAAGACCAGTCTGATTTAGAGGTCAAATCAGTCAAGCTTTTACTTCATAAAAATTTTATCCCCATTGTACCACCTAATTTTTCAATTTTTTCAATCATTAAAAAGGAAGCCATTGTAGGGATGATCAGCTGTTAATTTAGCTCTTGAAAACCAATAACAGCTTAATTTTATAAGGTAAATGTATCTGCTATCTTATGAGCATCATTAGATGTACTTTTAGGCCTTTTGTCAACTTATTGTCTGATTTGTTGTCCGGAGTGAATTTTGAAAGTCCAAAAAACAGATTTTTTCTGTAATAATAATAATTTAATAGTGAAAGTCAGATGAAATATCATAAAGAAAATAGGTTCTCTGACAGTTATTAATAGAAAAAAGGCTTCTGCAATGAGGGCACTGGACGTTAAGCAACCAACAATCAATCAATCCACACTGCGGGTTTGAAAAGTTAATTAAATTGAATGATATTGACAAGATATTTTAAATTCACATGTATACATAGTTCTCTCTAGGTTTATATGCAAACTTCATTAAAACCACGAAAGCAAATATCTTCATAAAATAACAATTTTTCCTCCATCCAAGAAAATTGTAAGTCACGAAAAAAAAATGAAGCCACAGTATTAACATATAAAATGTAGGAATTGAAATGCTTTGTGGAAGAATATTAGGTAAATTAAAATAATTATAGATAGTTAATGGTATTTCAAACAAGAGGGCATTGCTGAGCTACAATCTCGTCAAAGGGCAACAGCCCTGAGATGCGATATAGCAGAGAAACATCCTCGAGTTTAAAAGGCCATTGATAATTTGTTTATCCTGGTTTTCTTAGGCAATACCTATGAGGCCAATACATTCTCTTTTTACTTGACTGAGAAAATCCCATATCACTTGAGTAGCGTGGTATTTACAGGTTATCAATGGTTTTTAAGAGGAGAGGGTGTTTCTCAGCTACAATCTCATCCAAGGGCAACAGCCCTGAGATGAAATGAAGCCGAGAGACATCATTGAGTTTGAAAGACCATTGATAATCTGTTTATCGCTATTTTGCCAACAATGTTGTTTATGTTTACATTGACAACGTCATGTGGGCCCTTTGTTTCTGACGATAATTTTCTATCTCAAGGCAGCAAGTAGCATGATATGAAAAACTATCACAAAAAAAAAAGCAAAGAAAAAATACACAAAATAGAGGTAAGGAAAATTATTACAAAAAAAAGATCAAAGGAAAATTTGAGAATATGGCAATAAAGCTTTTCAATACATTACAGGGAGCATTTGGAAGGTTAGATCCTACAGGAGAATGGAAGGATAAGTTATATGATGTTTTACCTGTTGGCAGATTAGGAGAGGTCCCTGAAATAGCCAATTTAGCAACATATATGGTTAGTGACTATGCTAGCTGGATGACAGGAGAGGTAAGAAAACATACTGTATATGATATATATTTTGCAGTTATTATAACCATAAACAAGCAAATTAAATTTTAGACGAGTTAAAATTTTCTATTACTCATGGGTTTTCATATAAATACAAAATGAAGAGGAATTCTGTGTTGTTAAAAATTTAATTAATAAAATAACAAAATATAGAACATTGTTAAACATGTTAAAACCCTTTTTTTTTATAATTAACAAATAAAAGGAATGAACATGCAGTTGATAAGTATATTTTGTTATTTAGTAAGAAAAAGAGTATGGTGACCACAATTTTTCTTTTTATTTTCTGAAAGCATATTATTAGAACTATATCTTCTATCTTATTTTTTAAATTCTATTGTTTACTTTTCTTTTTTTTTTTACACAAAAGTGCTTTTATTACAAAATCTGACAATTTGCACATTCTCAAGCTTTTAAAAAAAGCTCAGTGATCCATGCTTTTTATTGTATTTTTTTTTAATATATCTGATATAAAGCAGATTTTGCCAAGTTTGAAAAAAATCTATTCAATTGTAAAAAATATGCACATGTTGTTCATATACAGACATATAAAAAGAATAATTTATCATGTTGTCTGAGGACCATCAATTGCTTATAGCATGCATTTATTTTTTTCTTGTAAGATTAATTCCACTAAATTATGTTCAGTAATTACAATAGCTAGAGTTGCATTTGAATTTGATTGTACTGGATTTACACTAAAATGCACATATTAAATTCTCTGACGGATTGCATTTTCACTTTAATTTATTTTAGATTATGATGATCATTCAAAGTGAAAATGGTATAAGATTTACATTTCCTTTACAGGTTGTTAAGTTTGATGGTGGAGAATACGTAAGTAGAGCTGGTGAGTTCAACGACTTAAAGGTTGTCACTAAAGAACAATGGGACATGTTGGAAGCCATGATCAGAAAGGCAAAGTCAGAATAATTATTGAAATACAAATATGACACTCGATACTACTGATTCTGTTAATGCAAAACAGTTGCAATAGAAAACCATGCATGAAATATTTCAATTATAAAATTAGTGAAGCATAATGATACAGTGAATATGTGTAGTACAGATCTTGATAATGAATTACAAAACTTTTTGTATTGATTTCGAAGCTCCTGTTTTAAAAACCAAGAATATATCCCATTACAAATAATCTTTCATGTATGTCATATTCACCAAAGTGAAACAAAGACCTAGCTTGGAGAGAGGCCTGTGATATTTATGTATGTAGTTTTGTATGTTTAAATTGATGGTTTATATTGAAAATATTACAATGTTTGAACCATGTCATTTTATAAAAATGAACAATGAAATAATTGATATTCATTGCACATCCTACATCAAATCATTATCAAACTATAATTATGTCAGGGCATACATCCAATCTCTATCAAAGTTTGTATGCTTTGTCATTGCATACTTCCATTGTCATCTTTTAATGTCTGACCATGGCATACATCAAATCCTCATCAAACTTGTAATGCCTAACCATGTCTTAACTTGGTCAGGCTTTACCCCAATTCGTCAACATTTTTAATGCTTGGTCATGGCATCATCGAATCCTCATCAAACTTACGATTTTTTGTCACGTCATACACCAAATCATCATTAAACTTGTAATGCCATGTGGTCATGCCATATAACCAATTAACTTATAATTCTTGTTCAGGCTATACCCCAAATCACCATTAGACTTATAATTAAAGAGGGCAATAAAAAATTCGAAGCCCAATAAAAACTGAGAACATGATGACCAAAAAGAAAAATTATGCAAAGACAAATAACAAAACACTATATAAAAACTAAAGATTTAGCAACTTGAACCTCACCAAAAACTGGGGGTGAGCTGTTCCTGCACTGCGAGTGGCACCTATTGTTCTATTCATTTCAAGTAAAAATAAGGTGACAAGTCTCATTTGGATATGTTACAAACCACTGGATTGTGGTTACAATTAATGGAATATATCACTGGTCATCTGTGACACCAATATATCATAACACTCTACCAAATCAGGTTGGGCACCCAAGAAATTTTCATATGGATTACTGTAATTTTATCATTTGCTCTATCAAGAAAAGTAATTCCTGAAATATTGTATCAGCTAGAAGATATATACTCCTGATACAGGGGCTGCTGGAATGTTGCTACACAGAAATGGGAAATTCAAAATCTGAAAATTGAAAACATCTCTCTTATAGTAAAGTTTCGTTCTCAACCGACCCTCATTATCAATTTCTACATGAAAGTCGACCTCTCTATATATAGGTGGAATCCTTTATCTCAAGGGATAGATGCAGTCAACAAAGACCGCAAACTTTGAACTATTCATTGAAAATACATCATCTTTATACAGAATGTAAAGTTAAAGGTTAATGTCAGCTTTTTCCCTTTGTCTTCTGCTGTATTAAGACTGCCTCATAATAATAAGGAACAAGTCGATATACAGAGGGGAGTACTTTGTTCCCTTTGGAATGCCTATTGTCTGTTGAAAATCAAGTCCTCCGAATGTGACAAATATGTTGTCAATAAAATATCTAGCATCTGTATATAGTCTGTTTCAGTGAAGTTTTTGTTTGAAGCAGAGTTGACTTTTCTATAGTTTAATTTGTCCCTTCCTAAAACAAGATATTTATATTCATGTTGGCCATTCTTTTTCAAGAGACAAGGTCTGACTAAGTCATTCAATATGTCTGTAAGTCATAGATTAGAACGAGGAATTACTAATAAAGGACAGAGAAGCTAAATTCTTCAATATTATTGCACAAAGAGATGAATTTAGAGTGTTTACACTAAAGCACCAGGAGGCTAACTTTGGCTGTAAGTACTCGAACAGATCTTTGGATTTTTTAGCCCTTAGGGAATGTATGTATGTACTGGTAAATTCCTACGTTATTCGTGTCATGAAATAGAAGTCTGTATCTGTATGAATACGTTGTCGATACCAATACTGGCTTTAATACAACGGTTTGAGAGAGCGCCGCCGATTTATTGACGGGGCGTGAGAGCAGATTCGAAGCTCGCTACGCTTGATTCGCGCACTACAGTGTCGTCTAGCTGATTCCACGCGATCACTGTCTTTACAAAGAATGAGTTTGAATATTGTGGTGTTTTGCTTGGTGGAATGTCAAAACACTTGGAGTGATTTTTTACTTGCTTTTCCACAATATTTGTTGCGTGGTATTCTTCGAATTTCTTGGCAGTTATGGTTCTCTTCGGACGTGCTTTTTTGAGGAATTCGTCTGGTTCTATAGCGGGAACCTCAACCACTTTGTACATAAATATTAACTTCTGGCTTGTTCTTCTTGTCTGGAGATCTTGGAGTTCCAGTTGGGCAAGCATTTTGGAGACACATCCGTCCTCTCTTGACTTGTAATCTCTGATGATAAATCTTGCCGCTTGACGTTGTATCCTTTCAAGCTTATTTATGTTAGTTAACGTGTAGGGGTCCCATACTATGGCTCCATATTCCATCGTTGATCTGACGAGCGAGATGTAATCTGTTTTTTTACAATCTTGTGGGCAGTATTTCAAGTTTCTTCTTAGAAAGCCTAGTTGAATGTGCTTTCTTTGCCACGTTTGATATGTGGGTGGTCCATTTGAGGTCCTCCGAAATTTGTAGGCCTAGGTACGGGTTATGCTGGACTTGCTGTAGTATGTGTCCATTTAAACTGTAGAATTTATGGCTCTTGTTTCTGATGCTTTCTGAAGTTCCTTCATAATATAAGTTTCAAGTGCAAGAACAATTCTGTAATTTTATTTCTACTGGAACTAATATTACAGTATGTGTATCGTACGGAATAAAGGGTATAACTCTGAAGCCCGTTTTGTATTGGTGATAAACTGAAAAAACACTATTATATCGTGTGTCCAAATAATCGAGAAAGCTCAAACCCAAGCATATAAAAGCCAAGGATGTATAAATACATAAAAACGTAAGGAGCTAGAGGACCAACAGGGACCAAAAAAGTATAGCCAAATTCATTAAAGGTCAACTTTGCCCAAGGAGTTGTCATGAAAATATATGTTAATAAGGGGACGATCATTTGATATTCGGGGAGGATTTTTTGTGGAAGGACTATATATTCATGTTTATCTGTTTCTACGCATGCTTATTTGTTTTGTTTTTTTTGAAAGCCTCATTTTTGTACACAATTGTTTCCTGCATTTTGTGTTGCAGAAGATTAATTTTCATCATTTCTTATGCAAGGTTATATATTTTCAGCTTTTACCAGGCCAGGATATTCATTTTCAAAATCCTCCTGCCCCCCTCTCCCAATCAAATGGTCAACCCCTAATTTGACTGAGGTTCAGTGGAGCAATTGTCAGACCAAGCAATAAAACGTTGTTTGTAAGGACACTTATGTTATTTGGGTATCCCTCAGAAATAAAACATATTTGTTTAGAATTCCAAAGAAACAAAATACACACCATATAATTGTTTAGAATTCCAAAGAAACACAATACAAACCTATATATATATATGTTTAGGATTTCATTTTTAGTAAGTGTCGTTTAAGTATATGTTGAGCTTCGAGGTGAAGTGCTCGTTCCTAATTCCCTTATCACCCAGTTTTTATTATATGATTGATACACACAATTAATGCAGCATGAGTGTTCATAGACCCATTTTGTTTTAACTTTTGGAGACTACTATTTGGTACTAGCAACTAAACCAACATTGCCTTAAGAAATACTTGTGCAGTATAAAGGACATGCAAGTGTCGTTTTTGGTATTCAAGTGAATTTTCAGTACCTAGTTTGTATAAAGAGTACATCCACCTACAAAGACCGAAAATTAAAATCGCCTTTTATAAAAATCCCTGCTTTCTAAGCGCTTTTCTGGATTTAGCTTCACCAGGAACGTTCAAACATAAAACATTGAAATGGACGTATTCTATCATGTCTACGTAAGAACATTGGAAGCTATATGACTAAACAAAATGTTGCTCCATACCTTTGTTACCTAATTAAAAAAAGTAAGTACTGCATGGCTATTCACGTACCTCACTATGTCAATTACGACCTCACAGCCTCACCACAATGATCAGTTGCGATCAGTAGGTTTAGAATTGAAGTCGTCAAATGTGTGTGTGGTTTTTTGTTTTTTGTTTTGTTTTTTTTTGTATCTAATTTTGCTATATAGATATAAGAAGATGTGGTATGAGTGCCAATGAGACAACTCTCCATCCAAGTCAAAATTTATAAAAGTAAACCATTATAGGTCAAAGTACGGTCTTCAACACGGAGCCATGGCTCATACCGAACAGTAAGCTATAAAGGGCCCCAAAAAATTACTAGTGTAAAACCATTCAAACGGGAAAAACAACGGTCTAATCTATGTAAAAAACGAGAAACGAGTAACACTTATGAACAACATCAACAAACGACAACTACTGAACATCATATTCCTGACTTAGGACAGGTGCAAACAAATGCAGCGGGTTTAATGTTTGTTTCGTTACTGTTTTGAATGTGCACAGATTTATAACGGCTAAAATTAGAGTAATTGTATTAAAAGGCTTTATTATTTATTATTTATTTATTATTTATCAAAGAACGTATCGTCTTTTTTCTAAAAAAGTACATCGGAAGATACCAAGACCTTGTTGATAATTATTCCGTTTAAACTTCACAAATAATACATGATGGTCTTGAAGTATAGATTCTAGGTACTGACGTTGTTTATCATCTTAATTACGTGTTATAGAGTTCTTTTTATTTAGTCCTTGTAAATACTTAATCTGTACTGTTTAGTCCATTTTTTGTTATATCCTTTTGGCGTGGCTCGGTACTTATACTATCATTGTATTATTGTGCTATATAAAAATAAGGAGATGAGGTATGATTGCAAATGAGACAACTATCCATCAAAGTTCAAATAAAGTGGATGTAAGCAATTATAGGCAACTGTACGGCCTTCAGCAATGAGAAAAACCCATACCGTATAGTCGGCTATAAAACGTCCCGACATGAAAAATATGAAACAATTCAATTGAGTAAACTTACGGCCTAATTTATAACAAAACAGTAAACGAAATACAAATATGACAGACACAAACCAACGGCAACCACTGAACTACAAGCTCCTGACTTGGGACAGGCACATGAAGAATGTGGCGGGGCTAAACATGTTTGTGAGCGCTCAACTATGGTCATTTTTTGTATTCCTGTCTTTCATTTTTGCTTATGTGCTTTGTCTTTATGCGATCTTGTTTTTCTTTGTTGGCATATTTGTTTGTTTTTATAGGGATTAAGTTATAACACAATATTGACTGCT